CGGCACCTGGAGGGAGCCGGGGGGGGGGCATCGCTTCTGCCTCACTGGTTTGGTTTGTAGATTTTCTTTTTTTGCAATGACAACAAGCACAGGTGGAGCTATATTTAAAAGCGCAAAAGAAGCTTTTGATCTGCGTTCTATGTGGCTGTCAGTTTGGTGTGGTGGGTTAAGTGCGCAGAGGCCTCTATATCTGGGAGGACCAGGTTCGATTCCCCCACTCCTCCTCCGCTTGCACCTGGCTGGACGGCCTTGGGTCAGTCACAAGCTCTGACAAGAGCTGCCAAGAGCTCTCTCAGCCCCACCTGCCTCTCAGGGGGGTGCCTGTTGTGGGGAGGGGGAGGGAAAGGAGTTTGTCAGCTGCCCTGAGACTCCTTTGGGGGTAGTGAAGGGCCATGGGGTATGAATCCAATCTCTTCTTCTTCTTCTGTCTATCTATCTGTCTATCGCCAGTTTGGTGTAGTGGGTTAAGTGCACGTGGACTCTCATCTGGGAGGACCGGGTTTGATTCCCCCACTCCTCCTCCACTTGCACCCGGCTGGATGACCTTGGGTCAGTCACTAGTTCTGACAAGAGCGGTCCTTGAAAAAGAGCAGTTTTTGTCCAGAGCTCTCTCAGCCCCACCTGCCTCACAAGGGGTGTCTGTGGTGGGGAGGGGAAGGGAAAGGAGTGAAGGGCCATGGGGGTATGAATCCAATCTCTTCTATCTATCTATCTGTCTATCTATCGCCAGTTTGGTGTAGTGGGTTAAGTGCACGTGGACTCTCATCTGGGAGAACCGGGTCTGATTCCCCCACTCCTCCATTTGCACCTGGCTGGACGACCTTGGGTCAGTCACTAGTTCTGACAAGAGCTGTCCTTGAAAAAGAGCCATTTCTGCCAAGAGCTCTCTCGGCCCCACCTGCCTCACAGGGGGCGTCTGCTGTGGGGAGGGGAAGGCACTGCACTGGCTGCCGATAGCGTACTGGATTCGCTTCAAAGTGCTGGTTCTCACCTTTAAAGCCCTATACGGCCGGGGTCCCACATACCTACATACCTAAGGGACTGCCTTTCCCCACATGTTCCCCTGCGAGCACTAAGGTCGGGGACACAACATCTGCTGATGACTCCAGGCCCTAAAGAGGCCAGACTTGCAGTTACTAGGGCAAAAGCCTTTTCAGTGGCGGCTTCTATCTGGTGGAATGAGCTCCCGGAGGAGATCAGGGCCCTGCGGGACCTCTCACAGTTCCGCAGGGCCTGCAAGACAGAGCTCTTCCACCAGGCTTATGAGTAGGAGCCGCCACTACCACCACCACCACCAATGAGCTTGGAAAAACGGGGTGCAGGAGTGGCCCTACGACGTGTGGGCGCCATCCCCACCATCTTTAAACTGAAGATCATGATCAGCTTGAAGCTATTTGTATATTAGAAATGTTTTAGTCTGTTTTTACTATGTTTTTATATTGGCACGCGTGCCCTTGTGTTAGCCGCCCTGAGCCCGCTTGTGGGGAGGGCGGCCTGTAAATCGAAATAAATAAATAAATAAATAAATGTATTTAGTATTTAAAAGTGCAAAAAGCTTTTGATCTAAGTTTATTTATTTATTTATTTATTCAAATTCATAGCCCTCCCAGCAAGCGGGCTCAGGGCGGCCCACAAATAGGGCAACATATGCCAGCGGTATTATAAATAACTTGTCACAGGACCATCACACGCCTCGATGTTACCTAACCCAGTTAGTGGTGGTGGTGCGGTAATGGTGATGCAGTGGTGGTGGTGGTGGTAGTGGCGGCTCTTATTCAAAAGCCTGGAGGAAGAGCTCCGTCTTACAGGCCCTGTGGAACTGCACAAGGTCCCGCAGGGCCCGGATCTTCTCCGGGAGCTCGTTCCACCAGGTAGGAGCCGCCACCGAAAGTTCCTCACCAAAGGCTCCCAGGAGAACCTACTGCGTGTATTTAATATTTAAAAACGCAAAAAAGCATTTGACCGAAGTTCCTCACCAGAGACTCCCAGGAGATCCTATTGCATGTATTTAGTAAATTACACTCTATACCCCAGATTTATTCCACGGATCCCATTCAAGAGGGTTCCCAGGCACTCAAAATGTGAGCATGACCGGACTTGCACTTGTTTAGCTTAAGCTCATTGTTGGTTATGTGGCTAATATTAGACCGTGAGGGGCCTTGGAGGAGCTGGGGGGGGTGATTCTGGACTAACCGGCTCTCTCTACTCACAGCCTGGATTGTGGCCCCCTGAGTCAGGCGAAGCCTCTGGCTCGTCTAGATATTGAACCTGGTGGTCCCTGCGCCCCCTCTCTCTTCAGCCAAGTTTTCGGAGGGTGGCTCTGGAAAGGCTGCAGGCCTGCAGGATGGAAGACAGCACGTTCCGCATGAATGGTGTGCTACAGGTGAGTTGGCGGGGGGGGAAAGAGACCTGACTCTCTGGGCATTTGATTAACTTACTTTGTTTGTATCTGGCCCGTCTCCTTAACAAGAGACCCCCAACTTTTTGACTATTCTTTTCCAAAACCCGTGTCTTACTGATGAGGAATCATGAGTTTGTTTATTCCAGGGGTCACTTGAAAACTGTATATTCCAGCCAAAGAACACTCGTGTTTATCTGTTAAGGTTTTTAATTAAAATCCGTTTAATTGCTCTTGGAATGGGTAAATATGAAAAATTGCAACAGTGCAAAAAACTCATTTATGTAAATGAAATCAGGAGTGCATATTATTTCTTACCTAAGATTAAAAGACGAAATACCGTTTTGGTGATTTCTACCACAGTGGTGTCATGAAGATTAGACAGTCTCACGCCGCGCACGCCTGAGAGATTCAGGGGTGGTTGGGTGAGGCCCAATTATGTGAAACTCACATGAGTCTCCTCAAAACCATTTTGTTTGTCTCCTTTGATTCTGCGATCTAAGCGTTTCCCAGCATAGAATTAACTTTCCCGTTGTCATGTTGCAAACTGGTGGTCTGCTGGTTCTTTACATAGCAAGATCTACTTCGCCCAGCCGTCCCCAGTTGTTTTTCCTAGGATGTAACTGTGAGGAGTATTGCTAACAGAGCAAATCTGTGTCTTGCACAAAGTCTTGGTCAGGACAACCCCCCTGAGGTAGGTGAGGCCGAGAGGTTGGGATGGGGGCTCAAGGTCACCCAGCCAGGCTCTGTGGCAGAGCAGAGATACCAGCAGTGCCCCCGCAGCGCATGTGCCCCTGGCACCCTAGAGCCCCGTGGGGGTAAAGGCAGACGTGCCAGGCAGGAAAGTGGCCGGAGGAAGGAGCGCCTCTGCTTGGGTGGGGCTTCCTGTGAAACGCGTGGTGGACTCTAGTCTGGAGGACCAGGTTTGATTCCCCACTCCGCCCCCACCCACCTCACAGGGGTGTCTGTCGTGGGGAGGGGAGGGGAAGGCGATTGTAAGTTGCCCTTGGGTAAAGGTAAAGGTTCCCTTGCTCGAAAGCCAGTCGAGTCCGACTCTAGGGTTGCGGTGCTCATCTCCGTTTCAAAGCCGAAGAGCCAGCGCTGTCCGAATACGTTTCTGTGGTCATGTGCCCGGCATGACTAAACACCGAGGCGCACGGAACGCTGTTCCCTTCCCACCGAAGTGGTCCCTATTTATCTACTTGCAAGTTCTTGCTTTCGAAGTGCTAGGTTGGCAGGAGCTGGAACTAGAGACAGGAGCTCACGCCGTCATGTGGCACACTCGGGTCTTGAACTGCTGAACTACTGATCTTCCACAGCCTGCAGTTCTCGGGGTCCCAACACTGCCTAACCCGCCCAGGCCCTAAAGAAGCCAGGCTAGCCATGACGAGGTCCAGGGCCTTCTCTGTGGCGGCCCCTCACTGGTGGGAATGAGCTCCCGGGTGACATCAGGGCCCTGCGGGACCTCTTCCTGTTCCGCGGGGCCTGTAAAGCGGAGCTCTTCCGCCAGGCCTTTGACTAGGGGCCGCCCCTTAACATCGAGGCCCTGCCCCCCCCCCCCGACATCAGCCCCAACTCAGATACCTT